GAAGATGTCGGTCATTCAGGGTCACTGTCAAATGCAGACTGCAGACCAGGGATAAAATGTAGACTGCAGACTACAGACTTTGATTATCCAGTGTTGACCATAAAATAGGGTTATTCATGCTAGTCGTAGTGAAAATCTGCACTCCGGTTAGCCTGAATATCACTCAGGTTCGCCTGTATAACGCTCCGTGTTTGCGTTAAGCTTCTCAACAATGGAAATGGTAATTGTAGATTCAGTTAAAAAGAAAAGTAGTCTGAATTTTATCCTTAGTCTGCATTTTACCCTCAGTCCGCAGTCTGTGTTTCACACTTAGGAAGAGAGAAGACCCTGGGAACGATGATCTGTCACTGAACAGACGCACGGTAGCCTGTCATCCCCCCCACCCCCAGCCCCGCAACAAAATCGGGGAGAGGATATTTGAGGGGAGGGGGCACACAGGCTACGTTTTTCTCTGTAAAAATCAATTTTGAACAATAAGCTTCCGGACGGAAAAAAATTAAGGAGGTATAGAAAAACATTTTTAAAAAAGAAAAATAAGGTTTCTGACTCCAGTCAAGCAAAAGTGTTTAATTAGCAGACATTGTTCCTCACATTTTTCTTGACTCCTGAACACCTAAGCTAGTATATATTTGAGCTGAACCTTTTTTAATCTACATTTGATAATGGCAACAAGATGATGCCGAAACGTCACGTTACAGTGTTTATTTTTCTTTGAAAGAAATTTAAGAGCAAATATTCACCAAGAAAATGGACACAGCTGTTTTGATATATTTTTTTTCAAGAGCTTTTTCCTCAAAGCTTAACTTTCTCTGCCCAGGATGGAGACGCTTTGAAGAGTTACAACTCAAAGGTGATTTGTCCAATTTCACTCAAATCTGGTCAGTTGAGAAATTTACAATTCTAAAAATTATGTTGATTAGAGTCATTTATGTGCGGTCATTCTGTAACTTTTTATAGCAATTTTCAAAATGTTCTTTGACTTAATTGCAATCAATCAGTTCCTGATGCTGAGAAAAAAATTCGTTTAAAATTTATGGAAAATTTAACAATAAATTTTCCAGAAAACCTAATAAAATTATTGAATAGCCAGATCTATAAGCTTTAATTTGACTCAGGGTTCAAGGAATCTGTGAAATGCACGTTATCCTGAGGGCGCTACATCTGTTGGACTAGAGACACGGGTACAAGGTAGCCTAAAAAACAGCATGCAAGCTTTTGTACAAAACAAGCACTTTGTTTTCCAAGTCATTTGTGTAAGGGTCCTGAGAAGCCCATCGACGCATTAACACAGAGTTCAATTTTTCATGTAACAAAGAAATTGTTGTTGTAAGTTGTCCCTTGTAACACCACCTCTAAGATTGTTTGGCGATCAAAAGTCAACAGTACCCTGTGAGCAGTCTCTCTAGGCAACACTCAGAGTGGGTGCTAACTCACAAATGCCAACAAAAGTACTAATGAGACATTATGGAAAATTATGTATTTCATACAAGTGTGGACCTAATTTGTGACATTCCAATGGTCTTTTAAGTTTATACGGGTTGAAATCATAACAAAAAAAACAACAGTTCTGTAACATTTTTCTGTCCATTGAAGAAGATTCCACATTCATCCTGCATCCATGTTAGCCAATGAAATTCATGACAACCAGATGAAGAATGACGCTAGCAAAGATAAAGTCGGCAAATGCTCTCTCTGGTGAGATTCCCTTGAAGTCTGACATGTTGGCAGGATTACTCTGAACTCGTAGACAAACTGGAATGAAAACAAAAGATAAAATCAATATTTTCCCCCAAGAATGCAAAAAATGTATTGTGATTTCTCTTTTCATTCTCTCTTTCCATGAAGGTTCTCCTCAGGGGAATTTTTAGTGGTGTGGAATTTTTAGTGAGGTGTGTCGGTAATCTTTCCAGTTTAAGTTTGCATACAGGCCATCAGGCCGGAGCTTATCCGAGTTTCTGTAGCATGAAGTGACTAGGAGTATTTCTACACACCCCCTGGATGAGATGCTAGTCCATCTTTTCAGCCCAAAATAAAATTATCTTTCTTATATACCCCAGTTTAATATTTCAGGCCATCAAATCCATACATAGTGAAGTAATAGTAAAGTAAAGTAAAGTA